CTCTGTTATTGTCTCCGAATCAACGGATAAGCTCCTTGCGTTCCAACTTTTGTTAATGAAAATCGCGCTGCATCGCGGAAATTACCAACTTTCCTCGAAGCGGTTGATTCACTTTATGATATTTGGAAACGTATAATGATACGATGTTTGTGCTAGTGTTGGTGTTTGGAGTTAGAATTCTGTGAAAGTAACTATTATTTCTCTCTTTCTCTTTTTAACACTATAACTTCTAAATTCGTCAAAATAATAGCTTTAGATTTTTTGTTTTTTTTTTCTTTGAGGATTATCTGAAACATACAGCTGTTTTTAGCGAAATTAATATTCACCTTTATTAAAATAAAAACATGATCATATGTACGTACTTACCTACTAATTTATTATCATATCGTTTTAATTAAAGATATCTTCGTGTAATATATTTAGGTTTATATGTGGTGGTAATGACAGGTACTTCGCGTATATTCGTGGAATTTTTTAATAGTGTATAAAATTTTAGAAATTATGTTAAATTCTTTGATTAATTCTCCTTCCCATGAAGAAGATTGTGGAACGTGAACGGAATATGGAAACTTACAAATTGAGTTACATTTAGAAAGTTATGAAGTTTTCACAAGGTCGAGGTCTAAAACTTCAAAAGCGTAGAATACAGAAAAATTATGTAGATTTTGTGGAGTTATGGAGTTCTTTAACATGTTTTGTGTCATAGACTAGTTTACAGATGTAAAACTTTCAACGGATAAAGATGTTTGCCACGCTGCACATACTACAACAATGAAACACAACGATGGTTTTCAAAGCTGATTTAAAATATTTAAATGTCCTATTTTATTACCGAAACAGTTGTTAATATTTATCGCGTGTTAATTTTAGTGGAGAATCATACACGTGGTTTCGAACGTTCCATGTCTTGATTAAAATTGAGTATTTTCCTGTCCATGAGTAATTAAATGGCTTGAAAGTCTGGCTGATGAACAGCAGCGCGTTCCAATGTTATTTGACAATAACGAATGCTGGTACTTCAACCACAGGGATTCATCATCGTTAATGCGTTGCCCGTGAATAATCAGGATCAGGGCATGACTTATGAGATTATTTATTATGCATTAGCCGTAATAGCGGGAAATATCCGCGAAACAACGTAACGATCGTCCATTTTGGTTTTACCGGCAATCAACTTAAAATTCATCATTTGACGCGAGCTATAAAGCTCCCACGGTAACCGTACAATCCGTTGTTACGATAGTGAAACGTGTTTAATGGCAAACGCGAAGTAATTGTTTCGGATGTTGAATGAACAAAACGCTCTGTAACGAGATTGATTTTGGTGACGAGCTACTGTATTCCACGTCGACGTGAACCAAATCGAAAATTTATTTGTAAATAAAAATACATGAGATATTTCCACATGGAATTGTTTCTATGCGATACGATATAAAAATCGTATATTTAAAACTTTTGTGTTAGATCAGTAACTTTTAAATAAGCTATAAAAAGTTGATTCGCAAATATTCAGAAAATATCCGATTCGATGGATGTTCAAAATCCAATTAGGATGTTCGTGATTATTTGAATAATAATACGGAATATTTCTACATGAAACTGTTTACTATAACATAGAATTTGAATATTCGACAAATTTTCTAAAAAAGGATATGAAATTTTGTGAAACATTAATATTTGAGATGCTTGCAATTACTTGAATAGAGATAATATAGAAGTACATGAACATCGAACAGTCTGCTAATAGAAAAATAATCGAGTCCCATATTAACTGAACTGGTATTATCTTCAGTAAAACTCTGCATATTACCTATAGATTATCTGATATCTCGAAAATGCCCTTATTTTATTTTCAAATATAATTCTCAATTTCAAAGATTCGCTTTCAATTATTAAAAAAAAGAATCTCAATTATAACAACGAATCGCGTACTAGAATCACGTTTCCTCGTGGCAGGTGGAATTTTATCAAATGAAGGCGGGAAGGCCGGAACCCCTTTGTGTCTCTTCCACGCTTCGTTAGCCACCCCGACAAAAGCAACTGCTCGGTTTTTTAGGAAAGAAAACGCGGCTCATTGCCTCGGCGAGAGGGAATTCGTCCGTCGCGGCGAGAGAAGCTTGGGATCGTTAAACCGACGCCTGTTACAAATGTTTCCACTCGCTCAAACGGCGAACGATTCACCACCGGCTTGTTCAAAGCTACCAATGTTACACTCGGCTCTACTACTCGTGCTTCGTCACGCCACAAAAATAATCGAATTCGCTACGACTCGTTGGTAAATGCAATTGATTTACTTACAGCGAGGATGTAAGGATGTTGTGATGTTTTTGGAAGGGTAGTTTTGGTTTGGTGCCTTTGGCTGAGGTAATAAAGCGTGAAATGCATAAGCTTTGTAAATTAAATATTAGATAACATGTACAAGTAGTGTACTTATGAACTAAAGTGTACATATAGGAATATAAATTGCTCATAAATATATCCTATTTTTATTATTTCAAACATAAGACTAATTAGATGTTTTCGTCGAGAAATACACGTATTCTTGTGAGAAAGAATTTAGAATTCACCGTATATTTAGAATTTAAAATCACTGTTTCCTTCTCTCAGCGATAAACTGACTTTTATTTTATGAAATTTCGTAACTACACGCTTTTCCTCTAACGTTTAACAGCAAAAAAAATATCGAATGAAACTTCAATGGCATTGCCAAAACCAAACGTGGAGTATACAATCGGAGGGAAATAACGTTGTTTATAGGGAAAGTAGTTTCGCGGTCCTGATTATGTAAACTGCAGTTCGTACGTAAAGTTTAATGCTGGTTTTACTGGGATAAACATGATCCAAAAGTAATTTCCATTTTCACGATAAGACCAACAGAATATCGATTTCCTTTGTTTCTCTTTTTTTTTGCATGTTTCTTTTTCTTATTTATTGATTTCGTTTTCACTAAGGGGATTTTGGAAATCGTGAATGAGAAAACGATGCCATTGTTTGCATAGAATAATTCTAAATTTAGTCAAGATACTAATGTCGATTTCAAACAAAATTTAGTATCGATTTTATCAGCTCAACTGAAAAAAATGTTTCAAACATGAAAATTAACATTTTACATAAAATTCCTATAACAAAAAATAAAAAATAAATAAAAAATGGGGAAAAAAATAAAAATATGATATGAATGAATAAAAAATAAATTCGTACACCAGACTGTGTACAACTAAAACTCGTTATTCGCCAAATTGATCTGAACAATTTTTTAATCAAGAAGCGAAGGGAAGATATAGCGAAATTTTTTAATTAAAATTTCTTTATTAAAAAATTCTTAAGCTCTGAAGCATTTAATTTTTATCTCAAAATTTTAACTCAAAGTTTGCAACTTTCTTTCATAACAATGTATTCTGTTACGTTACTGCAACAGCAACATTTCCTTAATCGCTCCCTTAGCATTAAATTTCCTGTTTATAATTGTTTAGACAAATACAGAATGTCCAACGCAGTTAGGACGATCACAATACCAGTTATTAATAACAATCGTCAATTTCCATTTCATCCATCGTAAGGAAAGACCTTCGTGAACCAACATTTCTTTTTCTTGTTTCCTCATAGAAAGATCCAGTTGTAAAAGAGACAAACCAAAAACTCAGAAATTTCATCAAAGAAACCATCTCCTATCTCCGCGAATATAGAGGAAAGAACCTTGCTCCAGCGTGTACCGCGCTTTGTTTCACGTCGATATCCCGATCCCTCGCATCGAAAGCTCGCTCTGTTAAAATGCACGAGCGCGCCGGCGATGAATGGCGGTGGAAATTCTTGGAAACGCCGTGACCCACTTTTTTTTCCTGGGAATGCGTACGTTCCCTAGTAGTTGTGGGCAGCAGTGGGGGTAGTAGCAATAAAAAAGACGCTGACTCGGCGTCTGTCGCTGGCCAGCGCACAGGTGCTGCGCTTGGGATAGGTCAGCACTAGAGTGGGAGAAAGAGAAAGATAACGACACCGAACCGCTCGAAATTATGCTTCGCTTCGAACGAACGATATCTATGGTACGAAAAGTCGGTTCGACATGAAACAAAAACTGGGTTAAAGGGGAAGAATTGCTGCTTCTGACGGCGTGAGATATGGGGAGTTGGTGTTGATAGATTTGGAATTACGGTCCGGTGAATTTTAGGGGCATTTTAATAGGCGATTGAACGTGCAATCATTTCACGTTATTGTTTATTTGAAAAGTAATTAATGATAAAAAAGAAATAGCTAAAAGCTAATAAAATTGAAAACAATAATCGAGAATTGATAGATGATAACATTTAGAAATTAATTGAATTTAAAAAATAGATCGCGTACAAATATCACATACGTGAGCGGAATTCTTGAATCCCTTTGGATATATTCATGGTTAAATTTTTGTAATCAAAGTACTGGTACCATATTGTTAATTACATAATTAGTAATAATGTAAAAATAACAGAGATAACGATATTTGCAAAGAATGGAAGATCGAGAGAAATTTGTTAGCATTACCGTGTCTGAAATAATGAAGAACATTTAAGTTGAAAATTATGAGAAGATATACGCTTCAAGGTAATCATTTCGTATGCAAATATAATTTTAATCGTCCGCCTGGAAACCTTAATTCAACCGGCCCTCCCCTCGGTTTCAATTAAATCTGTTAATCAGGAAATCGTTGTACAAACTAATCTGAAATTTTCAATTAAAATGGAGTACTGCGAAGTCAATTGCAGAGGGCGAAATTAACAATCGTTGACAACTTACTCCCCTACCTTTCCATTCTAATTTTATTCAAAGTATAAATTTTACTCTGTACCTTCCTTTAAATTTACTTTCTCTCCTAAGACAACATCATAAATAAAAATCATGTTAGTAAATGATTAATAAGTTGATAAAATTAACAATAAAATAATAACGTAATACGAATGATTTAAAAAATGAACTACAAGGTAGGCAATGAAATTTCAAGTGTAACGATAAAGTTGCAAGCGACTCACCATGGCGAGCATATTAGCCGCTGGAGGATTGACTTGCGTGCGAAAATAGTTATGCGTGTCGACGATCTTCTGTCGGACCCTGCCGCTGTTCGTTCTTAGTAGCTTGACAGGCACTCTGTCCCCATACAGCCTTGGTGCTGAAAGCAGAGGCAAACGTTCCTCTCAACAACGTCTCGATAACCGATACTCCTTGTCAATAAAAGTCCTCTTTTTCCCTTTTCCCTCTGTCTTTCACCCTCCCCTCTCTTTACGCGCGTTGCTCCATTTCCTTCCCTTTCGCCCATGGAACAAATGTCCGCTTTAAAGGGGAATATCGACAGCGCCGCCAACTCCAAACAGGGCAATAACGTTCTATTTTCATATCCTTTACCCCTGTTCGCTGCTCCGCGATTCCGCGTTTCGCGGATCGCTTTGTCGAAGAGAAACAGACAGAACAGAGACTCATGTTCGAAATTGAGACGGGACATGCGATTTTCCAAATGGCGCCGAATGGCAACCTTCGGAAAGGACGTTGCTTCCTCCTGAACATTTTTGTCGATTGTGGAGGCATCGGAAGGGTTGTGCAAACGAAACTGTTGTGCAAACGAAACTGTTGTGTTTGAACACATTTAATTTGTGATAACGCGTGTATCTGGATTTTCAACCTGTGAATCACGCACGATTTGCGAAGATATTTCTTGAATAATTAAGACGATGCTGAACTCACGATATTGGCGTGATTTTTCCATTATATTTTAGATCGATTGAGAAAGTCGTGATATCTTTCGACTAACTTAGATCTTCATATTTAGAATTCATAAGAGTTGGCCTCGAATCGGAGCTCTCTTTTTTATTCCATAAAAAGTGCATCAAAAAAACGTCGGGAAATAACCTACGTAAGTTCAAGCAATATCTCAACTCTTTTAACGCATCAAACGGTTTATGATCGAGTGCTTTCAAGTTTTTATTACAGCTAAGGATGGATAATTGAAAAGTTCCATTACGCTGCTATGAGATGTAAAGTACTTACATCTCGAGAGATTGCTATAGTTCTCGACATTATCAGCGACAGAACAAAAGATATTGAAATCGTTTAAAAAATAAGTTTATCTTTCCCAGTATACCACTAAAATACTGATACACCTAAAAACTGAAAATACAAGCTTTTATGGAAACGGTCACTCAATTCTCAGAGAAAGAGATTTATATAAAAGAAATTCCCACAATGGCTTATTTCGTCGTCGAACGAGAAAACGAAAGACGCGCCATTAAACGAAGTTATATCGGATCCCCGAACAATGGGTGACATTTATTTTAATGTGAACGAACACTTGCCATGTGCGTTAAGCCGTGATACACGGGTTGCCCGTGTAATTTTTGTCCAATTACCGGTCAACAATGAAGCCAGCGGGAACGCGTCTATTATAAAAACGCCCTATATCACCGGATCTGAACGGGCGATCATATTTTACTTCCGTAACGTTAGCTGCAAATGCATTTGTAAAGCGACGCATTTAACCAGCTAACACCGGCTAATAACCAATATAAGGGAGTGCTCGTAAAAAAGCTCGTCAACTCCCATGCACTTCTAGCTTTCTAAAATTATTTCGAAAATTGGTCGTGTGATTCGAAGCTCTGTAGTAGCCAGATTTACATAGTGCCAAGAGTTTTTCTTGTATTATGAGAATAGTTTGTTGCAATTCTGTCGTATCATCAGCTTGCCTCTTTTTTTACTTTTTTTTCTTTAAAATATTTAAAGTAAAGTATACTGTAAAATCTTAAGTTATTAAAATCTCAATCTTAAAGTATTATAAAACCTTAATTGCGTCTATTCGCGAGAATAAAAAGAAAAAAATAAATTTGTAAAAGTTATTCAGTTCTGTTTCTGTAGTTTCGTAGTTTCGAGCACCTCGGGTAGTTTCTTACAGTTACCATCACATAAGTAATTTAAGACAGATTTTATTCGATCACAGACACAACTCGAATTCTTAATTTTATTAAATCACCCGCCTATTTTACATTTTATCATTTCATGATAATACCTTACACGATTTTCTACAAAGTTTCCACCATTTTCACAGAATCTCCATTCCACATAAATTCAGCGTCTAATTAAGGGTTCCTTTGAGTGGAACATTTTCCTAACACCGACCATCCTTTTATCTAAGAACCTGGGTAACTTTATCGACGAGTCCATTAACAGAGCAAACACGAAACCCATTTTTCTTACTGCCGCGTATCCCAAAATTATTATTTTAATTAAAAAGTTTTTCGGCGCGTTAAATTGCTCATCACATCCCATTGAAAAATTCCATCTTTTTAGAGAACGTAAAGATAGAAAAAATAGCGAACCTAGTGATTCATAAAATCGACTTGTGTATTGTAAAAATTTTGGCGTTTTAATAGAAAATTCGATGAAAATTTCATTTCAACAAACTAGAATTCGTAGAAATAAATAGCAAATATGTGTTGATTCGGTTAAAAAAAATATAATGTTAGTAATATAATAATCCATAAAACATGCGGAATGAAATAACGATATGAAAAGAGAAAGTTTCACTTCCTTCATCGACTCTGGAAACGTTCGAGAACTCAGAAACAGTTTCTATTCGCATTTACCGAGTCATTGTATCTTCAAGTCACGAGTAGCAGCCCTTACGTATTTCGCAGGGTAAGAATTTCGCTGTGATTAATGGTAACGAAAATTCAACTTGGTTCGAGCGACAGTAGCGATATTACTCACGTCATAGTTCGCAAACTCCGGCCCTCGGTAAATACAGATTGGGCGATTTTCTTTCGCTAGATTCCCGACGACAGCTGCGTCCAAGATTTCTCTACGAAGCCGCTCAGATTTCTTCTCACACCGGCAAAATTTCTGGAATGGTTTACCGGTTCCAACTTCTTTTCGACGTGGAACCAAAAATATTTTTCAGATTATGAGACAGCCTGTCCAACGATTTTCTATTATTAGGCCATCTTTTCAATCTCTTCGTACTTCTCCTAAGTTTAACTAACGATAAAGGTTCCGCTGAATGATCTTGAAATTTAAAAATGTGAAATTAGATATTAAAATATCGTGTGTGAACCTATCTCCACAATCTCCACAAAGATTAAAGCGAAGCAGAAATGTATTTTCAACATCATTCTATGTACCTCAAACTAGTTTGCTATGTAATTTCTACCATTATTGAGATAGTTGTCATAACGGGACACCGGTTCTTGCATGCGCGCTTCATAAAATGGTGCCGCTAAAGAAGGTACCTAGCGTGAACGTAACTTCCGAAATTTCATACGGTTCCAGACATAATTTCGTGGAGAAGTGACCGTAAAATTTGTGGGAAATGAATGAAAAGTAATGAAGTTGTGTCACGTGTTTGGTATTTAGCAAGTTACTATCGCGCTGGTTGTCACTTTAGGTACGAATCATCAATGTACGAAGCGCGCAAAAACGAACGTTAATACAAGTATCTCAATAAAAGTAAAGAATTACAATACATAGCAAAGAAATTTAAGGTATGTAGAATGCAATGAACGTAAATTACTATAGGTTCGGAAATAAATTTTGTGCTTTTCGTTAATAGCCAATCGGAAATTTCTGGACTACGCCACGTAATAACAACGATAAACCTATGACCATTACGTAACACTACTGCAAACAAGCCTCAATTATCAGCAAACAAGATGCTAACGCACATTCCCTGTTCGACCTCCTCGACGACGTTAATCCACGATATCCCGCGAATGATCGCAAATTATCCGCGAATGAAGCCTGGTTCTCGGATCGACCAATCCGCATTGTCGCACGGCCAGAGAACCGCCTCGTGGGCTAATCAACGACAGCTTCATCTCCTTGTAAATTACTCGCAACCCTAATTTATCGCGGTGACCCACCAGCATCCGGGGGATCAGATGTTTATCCACTCACGTGTTCTGATAAAATCTCCAGACCCCTAATAACCCCTGACCCTAATTTAACATTCGAACCATGTTAGGCGAGGCCAAGCTCTCACGCGAGTATGGTTTCGGCTTGGGTTTAGCTTTTCTCTCCAGCGAAGACGAAACAGTTGATCCTACTTATAGGTCGGAACTTTGAAAGACTTATTCAACCCCGTTTATCTTCTAGATTCTAGTGGAATGGGATTACACGAGACAAATGTGAAAATTCTGATGAGTCGAGGTAACGTTTAACGCGTATAATAAATTGGTGAATGGTGCAGAATTTACGAATTCTTTGTGTGTTTTTTCGTTTCTTCGATCATCGAGTTTTTATCGATGAATGCATGAACTTCGCGTGATTGTGAATTTCCCTTCCTCTCTTTTCACGAATACGTAAAATTTACAAAATTCTCTGCGAATTTGTCCCTTGTTCTTCTAATCATTTAAGAGAAATGAATTTTCATGTATTCGCGTATTTTACGTATTTTCCTCGCCCTACTGTCTAATTCGAACTTATTTCATTGTACTCGTTACATGTTTTAATTCATTGTTTGAAATATATTCGACAGAGAATGATTTCAATGGGTGTGGAATTTGTGAAAATCGGCGTGAATTCCCTTTTTGTTTTTATAGTAAGCAATGTATTTGTTTCGTTGTAGTCGTTACGTGCTTCGATAAAATTGGAAAAGAACAAATTCCAATTGGTGTGGTATTTTCCAAATGCATTGTGAATTCTCTTTGTTTCCTTTTTGTAGAGTTTCATAGCAGATATAATTGCATTTTATTTCACCACACCCACTATATGTTTCGAAATTTTCGATACACACTCCTCTCTCATTCGCAACTTTTCAGATTACTAAACCATTGACTTCCAACTTTGCGCTAACGCAACATTTCACTCGCAATTTTTGTCAGCAAATTCACGGTATTGAACTTTGCCATTTCAGGTTGCAATAACAAAAGTAAGTTTCAAATATTTCCGTAGTATTTTTTTATTATTATTTTTTCTTCCACCTAGATTGCACAATGTCTTGAAATTTGAAGAAATTGAAATATTTATAACATTAGGATAAATCAATCTTTTTTAAATAATGGAAATAATCTTTTTCTTTTTTCGTAGATCTGCGTGCAATGTTTAGTATCGTAATGTTCATATTTCGACAAAATAGTATATATGTAATTGTATTTACGTTTATCAATAACATTGCGTCTGCGAAACTATGGGATTAGTAGATAAAGTTCGAAATATAGAGGAAAATGTGAGTGGGCAATCGAATATTTTCTGACAATTTCTTTTCGTTATATTAAAATTAAATTACTTCATACACTAAAACTTCAAAGATTCTTTACCATTGGCACTATTCGCGACAGCTGCGTTGGAAATTGCCATTTGGAAGCCAACTTCAACTATGAAAAATAAAGAGAGGAGCTCATTCGACTTTACTTTCGAAAGGCAAACTGAAGTTCCGGTGGTGAAGTGAAACGACTATTCCATTGTGAATGTGATCACAAAAAATAGCACTATAGAATATTTAGCACAGGCTAGAAAAGAAAAGAAAACTGCCTCTGTACCACAGCCTTGTGTAACTTTCGAGTATAATCAAAATATGGGACACTTTATGACGTAAAAAGTGGTGATGGTCTCTGTTTATAAATTTGGTTAAGCGCGTTATTATAAATTCATGGAAAGAACTCGCACATACTAAAAAGATGTCGCAGCTACAGTTTCCATCATATTTAGCTATTAACCTTAAGGACCTTCTGGACATTCTCGACCTTAAGGACATTCTGAGGATCTTGAAATTGTAAATGAACAATCTAACTTAAAAATTAGTGAAAAGGAAAGAACAAATTATGGCTGTCCTACAAAAAATGCTTTATCCATAAAAATACGTTATGCTCGTACAGGAAATGCTACAACAGTTGGTACTTGAGCAAAAAGAAGATGTAAATCGTGCAGAAGTATAGCTATTTATAAATGCCGAAACTATAATACGCATCTCCACGAAAAATGTTTGGAACAGTTCCGATCTTCAAACTAATAGTAGGAATATATACCTTAAAAGGCAAAAGCTGCATAAACGTAAAGTTTCGTTACACAAAAACTAGCGATTCGAAATTTATTTTAATAGCATTTATATTGTTTCTTGTACATTTGTATAAATAATAAATAGCTATATGTATAAAACTTGCCTTATCTCACTAATTGGTCTTCAATGGGCTAATAAACAAATCCACCATGTAGTAGAAACAAATTACTATATGTGGACAAATTACGCAATGTGGAGAATTTATTACTAACAACCGAACATTTGATTTTAAACTGCATTTTACCTTCTACACATTTTTACCTCATATTTCTACGAAGAAAACTATGTGCCTCACTCTACACAATCCAGCAGAAAATTCGTAACATTTTTCATTCTTCTGTAGACTTCTTTGCCTTGTGTAAATCTGACTCACAGATGGCAAAATTCTCCGAGTAACTTCGCTCGCAGACTTACCATTGTGCGCGGAGCTTTGTTTATACCAACTTTATATCAGTACTTTTTTCGTGACCCTAAAATTAGGGATGATAAAGTTGAGAGTTTCTGTAACAGGTGTGCATAATGAATGCGGGTGCAACTTTCGAAAAACTCATTCTATCTGGCCCATGAAAAGCAGTGAAAAGAGAAACCCATAACAAAAATTGAACAACTTGACTCTGTTCTTTTTTTCCTTTATATTAAATGCTCCATGTGTCCTATATCCCTTGTATTCTAGAAATTTCAAGAAAAATATAGCGGCAAAATTCGTGGAGATATTGGGTTTGATCGATCGATAACGATTCGCGCGTGAGAAGAGTTTCTTGACAGAGAAAAGCTAGAAAGAAGAATCGAAGAGATTGAAATAAATGTGACTACTTACTCGGCTTGCTACGATGCGTCTTCCGAGGCACAGCCGCTGGCAGCGCCAGAGCTATTAGAACGATAATCCACAGCCACCTCATAATTTCCGATTACGACCTGCAACATACCAAGCAACATCTTATTCAAGAGCAAAGATCGTTAATAGCTTTGAAGTTTGAAAGAAGCTTGTATCTTTTCTGGCAGACTAATGGTAGTTTCATGAAAATTTTTCAAACTTAATATTTAATATTATAATAATATTAATTCAATATTATTTTATGGAAATTTATAGACTGGTTCGAGTGAAGCATTCGATACACTTCGATATTTGTCATCGTGTAATTTCTACATCGATACCTTGTATCTGTTTGCGCGCTTTAATAGTAATGGCTAACAGCATGTAAATTAACTGCTCAAAAACTTACAAAAATTACATCGCTATATATTTATTCACAATGCATGAACTAAATAGTAGACCTTCTAATTAAATTACACGTAATCTCTTCCGTTTTTGACGAAGGAAATTTATTCACGAAATTGAACAAATCGTTCAAAGAAATTTATTCGACAAATTATAAAACTAAATTGTACTTCTTTCCAATTTATATCTCTAAATAGTACTTTGAATTTTCTCGGAGCTTTCGTTTCAAGTCGGTTGTATCACCGCGAGTGAGCTTATATTTTCGCAGGCGGCGAAGTGTTCATTAAAGAAAGCCTCTTACCGGGCTTCTTATCTCCGCCCTTTTCGCGACGAAACGACACGGGCCTTGCTCGTATGCGCTTCAAATAGCCGAGCGTACGTGCGCGAAAACGGAATGACGTGCAGAATGAAGAGCGAGGCAGTCGGCCAGAAAAGAGCAGAAAATGAAAATAAGTGATCCAAAGACGACGCGACGTCAGGATAGAGAAAAGGGATTTACACGCGAGATTCTTTTACCTGTTTCCCTGTGTGAGATCTTCTTTCAATGATCCCGTATATTTTACGTAAATAACCGTAAATAAGCTGGAACAAAGCACATTTCATTTCGACTCTCTACAACGAAGCTACGTGACCCAAAAGTTAAACTGTATCTATCTACTTTCTGTATTTAAAGAAGTTCTACGATTGTCTTCTTTTTAAAAGAAACCTGCTGTATAATATATCATCTTGTATAAAATTGAAGATCTCAGGAAAAAGATACGATAAATACATTTTTATCGAGTTTCAAATCTTCAACGGAGCAATTCGACGTCCACGACTCTCATAATACCAGAGAAAAAGATGGAAGATGAGTTCTATGATTGCAAATTTTATCTTCTGCTTGTTGCAAAAAAAAAAGACGATTTTAATACTCGCCCCAAATAACGGCGAAAATTTTCAAATGCTAACGTGACAATAAAAGTGAAAAAGAGAAGATTCTATCAACATCGGGAAATAAAATTTCACTTGCTACTCGTGTTAAAATCTACATTGATCGCGGTGAATCGGCCGTGTAGCCGAGCTTTTCACGGGCGAACGCGCTTCTCATTAATCACGATTCTCCGCATCAGCGGGAAATTTCATTATTTCTCCGGAGGCGAACGCGTCCAATGCTGTGACAGCGTCGATGTCTGCCACACTGTATCAAACGCACAAACGAAGACAGATTGTGTTGCCACTCGTCAAAATCGCCCAGAGCGCGAACACCGGCCAAAATCGAGGATTAACGCTGGCCTTTTTTTTTGTTTTGCGCGAACGAACAGCTCGACTACCTACCCGGAAAATCAGTCATCAGGTTATGAGCATCGAGCTGTGTCGACGGGACGCTCGTGGTCAGTAGCGTTGAACGAGTTGTTAACTGAATTTGGTTAATGGATTAAAAACGTAATGCCGAAGCTCTCTTAAAATTTATTAATCTAGTACAAGTCTTTATTACCATAAAACACTTTTTTTTTGTTGGAAAATTTTGTTCGTAATTTTGTACTTCAAACATATACAATGTCTATAAAAAGTACATCGTTGTATTTATCATAATATTTACATACTAGATAATTAATTCCGGATATATTCATAGCATTTAATAATACTTCCACGTAACTACCAACAATTCGATACGATAAAAAATAAAATGTATAATCTGGTAAAAAATGTTTCTCATTTATATCGTATTTATTTAAAAAATTGCTGATTTCTAATTTATCCGAGATCCGAACAAATGAAACGTGTTGAGTTTCAGAAATTCTTGATCGTCAGAGAGATCACTCTTTCCATCAAACCAAATCCTCTCAGTTATCATACCCATATCTCCATTATTCCCGCGTCCCTGAAACCAGCCGCTGGTATCAAACTCTTTATCCGTGCTTTACATTCACCTGTCCCAATACACCTATATAACGATATCTCGAACATTATACGCCCGTTTATTCAGCAAACTGGCGTAGTAATCGTGCATACCAAAGGAACGAAAAAAAAAGAGGTTGAAATTCTGCCAAATACCAAGCGCTTAAGGTATCGTTACATATTCGGGGCAACTATCGATGTAGGGAATCGAGTCGATACCTGAGCAAATGGTTCATGAGTCCGTATCGTGTCTCGATTTCAGGCCCGAGTGATCAGAAAGCCGATAGAAAAAGGCGAAAAAGGGCGAGGAGTAAGAGCCGCGTATCTGCTCTATATCTTAAACCACTTTGCATTTGCTCTATACGGGGTACCATCGTCTTTCCGGATGGCTGAAAAGGGTGAATTCCGCCGGAGAAAATGAAAACGGAAGGTATAAAAGCGTCTGCACACGGTCCATAGAACGGGGGCGCTAGAGAACGAAAAATATCTTTGACGTTCGATCTTGAGGACCTTGCGCCTGGTGACATTGTTGCAGATACTCCACTATCTTAGATGCGCGCACGCGAGAGACTGGTGACTTAGTAAAAGAGATGTTAATGTGGTGGTTTATGATGTAGACGTAAGAGCAGGATAAAGTTAAATTCAGTAAAACAGAATTTAAGATTAAGTTCTAAATTATATCATAGACATATCATAGGCGTGAGAGAAAGATATAGTTAGATTCGAATTAGAATACCGAGTGGTCTTTCGAGAGGAGACATTTCACAATAACAGAAATCGTGGCGCAACGTTTCAACGATCAACGTCATTAGCACGTGTTAAAATCTAAAAGGAGTGTTAAAGTTTCAAAAATTCAACGATCTATTTCCTTATTTACTTTTCGCAACGTGTGAAAAGTGATTATTATTTCAAAACAAGTTGGAGTTCTAACGACTACTTTCGAAGGTTTCGGTGAGTAAGAAGCAGAAGTTTTAGAGTTGGGAACTCTATCTGTCTTCCTATGCGAAATTGGAAGATTAGAGGACCCGTGGTTGTATAGTTTTGAATTAGAGAGAGAGTTACGGAGTTCAAGATTGCAAGGTTCGGAGTTTTAGGGTTTTGGTTTATAGAGTTTCGAGTTGTGAATTCGGAAGTATAGAATAGAAGATGTAAATTTATCGTAGATGAAGGACATTAATTTCAGAGAGCACTAATATTTTTTTCTTACCATGTTTTATCCGTTTCTTAATCAGAATTTTTTCCGTTTTATTTATATTTATTTTTAATATCGACACATTTGTAGTATCGAATTAACTATAATTGTTAGTGCTTGAAAAGACAAGTTATTGTTATTCGTATCATTATTATAAGCGCCTACATTCAATATTTTGAAAATGAATTATTTAATAAGCAAAATTTTCAAGAACATTAATTGATGAAAATTAAACAGTCGAATAAAATATAAGACAATTGTAAAGTACGTTGGCTTGATATTATTCATAAACAATCATCGTGTGTTTTACATTAAACTAATCATACATAACGATGTAATTGATAATGGAAATTAATATAGTTGATAATGAAACTAATATGTAAATGATAATAATAGAGGGAGCAAAGTGAATAAGATTTATTGAACGCTACACGAATACGTGATGTATCTGCTTCATTTTATCAGAGAAACTAGATGTTGCGTCATATCGAATTTCAGTAGTAAAGCTAGGATACGCTCAGCCATGTCTGACCATAACTAATGTTAACTACTAAAACTATTATAACGTATCGTCGTATTATAACGTTTAAGTTTAGATTGGATAAGAAATAAATTTTTATGTAAGAGGTTAACGAAAAGTAAGTATATATAACAATTGTACATTTTCGTTAACATTGTTTGGAAAATTTAAAATATGTTGAAAAATAATTTTTGGAATAATCTTTATTTAATCAGTTAGTAATACATTGTTATTCAAGCTATTGCTTAATAATCTTTTTATTGCTTAAAACTCTTTATCGATAATTATATTTAGCTGAATGTTTAAGATATATTTTAACGATTAAGTAAACTCCTAATTATAAAGTATATTATAAACTTAATTATTGCTTTTACTTTATTAAACGTACAAATTTAAATGTTTCAATATGAAAATTTGCGCAATATTTATTTGTTTATTTATCATTCGATACATGAAACGTGTGACACGTATAGATTGCAACAAAACCGTTTAGTGTGACGAGTTATTGATCATTAAAATATTTGCGAAACACCGTGTTGACATGCTTCAATAATGCAACAACGCATAAACCAATCATATACGTTAATAATGAAACGTCCAGGTCGTAGAAGTTGTAAACGTCGATCAACAAGTACTTATTTTCACTAATTAATGAGCTTCAAATCTCTAGATTCAAACCTCCGATCGAAGCAAACATTTGTAACTAAGCGATCATGCTCTGATTATACCATATGTAGCTACGTAAGTTGTGTCAACCATTATTTAAATCAAACTTAATTAAAAATAAGTAAAATTAAATCATTTCATAATTAAATAAAAAATGATTAAAATATAGTTTCCAAGTATTCAAGCGTGCTTACCTCCGTGTTATTCGTATTAAGAAAAATCAACCTAATTTAGCTGGTAACGAGAAAGACTTTCAATTTTGACAGTTACAGCGGAATGGTCAAACGACACGAGTCGGTAGCAACATATACACGATAGGGTACGTTGCTGGTCGTTATCAGCAGAATTCCAGCATCATTTGCGAAATTAAATGCAAACATTCACGAACTCTACACAGAAATTTTGAGCGAGCGGTATTTTGCTCGTTTTTGTTCGGCAAG